CACTGCTGATACACAGTTTTTAAATTATGGCATTTTTCATGCGCAATTTCTATTTACTTGCCAGGTTTAACATATTGAAAAAAATGTATAAAAAACGAAACATCTCTAATATGTTAAATTCAGTAAATGAACAGTGATTGTGCAATAAAATGTGCAGAAGTGTGATCTCTATAGAGGAAGTGCTACCTATTTTCACTTAGAAAATCAACAAGACATGTCATTTGACCAGGGGTGCCCAAACTTTTGCATAGGACCGTACTCTGTTTCCAGGAAAAATCAGGTATAGATCCAGACCTTCACAAGATCTGCTGCACTTATACATAACTAGTTAGTTGTGTTCATATAAAATGAAATAAAATATATAAAATATGTAATAATAAATACATAAACAATAAAATAACACCAGTTTTTGTATCATTAAAGGGGAATTCCAATTCTGTAATTCAATTGTTGAGATGTAAAAAAAGGTGGGATAGCAACCAGGGGTCGCAATGCCTGCAATGCAAATGTATTCTTTTATTTTCTATCCAAAACCCCCAGTGAACCTACAAGAGTTTTTAATATATAATATTGACAGCAATTTTTGTTTTATAATAATCCGCAAGTACCTCTTAAATATATTTTACTGCCATGAATACATTTTGGTCCAAAGGTTTATCTCAAAGCTATTGTAAGACAATATCTCAAGCATCAGTATTGATAATGATTTCATGTAATATCTTTCTGGTTCCTATTATCACTACAGTGGACAAACGTCTCTAGAACGGAGCACTTTACATCAAACCACTCTGAATGACTTTGTTCACCTCTTAGCAAATGAATTATACAGAAAAAACAGTAGACTTCCCTTTAAAAAGTGTATTAAACAGCACTCATGTATGAGGGATCACAGTATCTAGTTTATTCTAGTTTAGATGTTGAGTAAAAATGGGTTGAACCATCTTACAATAATCTTACAATAAAGTCAGTGTAAGACATTTTAGGCATATTAAATATATCAAGATATACTCAAGATGTTATAGTCTACCATTTTTGCAGTGCATGTTGAATTATGCTCACAAAATATGTTGATTCAACATACATACATCCAAACTGTACCTGAAGGAGTCAAAAAGCGAGTCAGGATCTAATTTACATGGATATTTCTATTCGTATAACATGATGTCTGAATTAAATACAAGCTATTTGAATGTGTTTATACTTCACAAAGTGCTACTAATGCTCTTTTCTAGTAACCTCTGAATAAAGTCATACAAGAGATGGAACTGCTGTGTTCAGGTGAACAAATGAAGTGACAGCATCATAAATAATAAACTGTGTCATTTTTAAGATATGTTTGTGCAAACTATGGATCTACGCATGATATATCATGTTATGTATGGCCTGTGTGAAACCACACTAAGCGATACATGAATGTTCATGGACTTTCTATGTGGTCTGTGATAAATCATCATACTCTGATAAGAACAATGGTAAGTCATATGAATGTGTGAATGTTTGCATGACCTAAATGTGTTCAGTTTACACAGTCAGCATTTCATAAATGTCTTATCTTCTTTATATTGAACTAAGCGCTGACATGAGGCTGTAAACATACACGCAAATACTTGTATTGCTTTACTTGTGTTAGCATATTCGCCATGACGGTCAGTCAGACTATCTCTAATTATAGGCCCAAACCTGCCCTCATAATACATAATGCTGCAGAGTTTTTAAAAATGTATTTTATAACATAACAATATATTGCGTAACTAATAATAATTTTAAAAGTTCAACTTTCTAGTTGGCCAAATCAAATGTCTTCATCAATCACAGTCAGGGGGGAGGTGTCAGAATGTATGATGCACTGATAGAACCAATCACAGTCAGGTAGAGGTCCCAGAACCAATGGTACTGTGATAAGGATGAATGCCAGTCAGGAGAAGGTCTCAGAATGAAAGATGGTGGTTAGAACCAGTCACAATCAGGAGGACGTTCTAGAATGAATGGCGCATGGATTTGAACCAATCACAGTCAGGGAGAGGTTGCAGAACAAACAACATGGTGGTTAGAACCCATTACAGTCAGGGGGAGGTGTCAGAATGAATGATGCATTGATAGGACCAGTCAGAGTCAGGGAGAGGTCCTGGAACCAAGGATGCCGTGATGATGACCAGTTACAGTCAGGGCAGACGCCCCAGGACAAATGACACAGTTATTAGAACCAGTCACAGTCAGGAGGACGCTCTAGAATTAACGATGCATGGATTTGAACCAATCAAGGTCAGGGGGAGGTCGCTGAACAAACAACATGGTGGTTAGAACCCATTACAGTCAGGGGGAGGTGTCAGAGTGAATGATGCATTTATAAAACCAATCACAGTCAGGGAGAGGTCCCAGAACCAATGGTGCTGTGATAAGGATGAGTCACAGTCAGGGAAAGGTCTCAGAATGAAAGATGGTGATTAGAACCCAGTCACAGTCAGGAGGACGTTCTAGAATGAATGACGCATGGTTTTGAACCAATCACAGTCAGGGGAGGTCGCAGAACAAACAGGTCTCAGAATGAATAACATGGGGATTAGAACCATTAGATCACAATCAGGAGGAGATTCTAGAATGAACAACACAGGGATTAGAACCAATAACATTCAGGAGGAGGATCTAGAATGAATTATGCAGGTATTAGAATCAGACATGATAAGGGGGAGGTTTCAGAATGAATGATGAGGTGATTAGAACCAATCACAGTCAGGGAGAGGTCTCAGAACAAATGAGACAGTGATTAGAACCAAACACAGTCAGGAGGAGGTATCAGAAAAAATGACGTAGTGATTAGAACCAATCAGATGTAGAGAAAGATCTCAAAACAAATTAGTCAGTGATTAGAACCAATCACAGTCAGGCAGAGGTCTCAGAACAAATAAGTCAGTGATTAGAAATAATCACAGTCAGTGAGAGATTTCAGAACAAATGAGTCAGTGATTAGAACCAATCACAGTCGAGGGGGGTATCAGAACGAATGATGTAGTGATTAGAACTAATCACAGTCAGGAGGACATTCTAGAATGAATGATGCATGGATTTGAACCAATCACAGTCGGGGAGGTTTAAGAATGAATGATGTGGTGATTCAAACCAATCATAGTCAGGAAGAGATCTCAGAACAAATGAGTCAGTGATTAGGACCAATCACGGTCAGGAGGAGGTCTCAGAATGAATGATATATTCATCAGAAACAGTCACAGTCAGGAGGAGGTTCTAGAATCAATAATGCAGGGATTAGAATCAATCATAGTCACAAGGAGGTTCTAGAACAAATGACACAGGGATTAGAACAAGCCACGGTAAGGAAGAAGTTTCAAATCAAATGAGTCAGTGATTAGAACCAATCACAGTAGTAGGTGGGTGGGGGGGGTCAGAATGAATGACATAGTGATTAGAACTAACCAGAGTCAAGTAAAAATTTCAAAACAAATAAGTCAGTGATTAGAACCATTCATAGTCAGGGGAGACCTCAAAACAAATGATGCAGCAAGTTCTAGAATGAATGACACAGGGATTAGAACCAGTCACAGTCAGGGGGAGGTTTCAGAATGAATGATGTGGTGATTAAACCAATCACAGTCAGTGAGAGATATCAGAACAAATGATGTAATGATTAGAACCAATCACAGTCAGGGGGCGCTCTCAGAACAAATGATGGGGTAATTAGGAATTCTGTTCTTTTGCACCTTACAAACTCAAAGCAATGCGTCATCCTGGCCAACAGGACTTTGTTTTGCTTTGAAACATAGTATAGCCTGACCCTGACCATTACCCTGACCCTTAAACTAGCCTTTAGCCTGGCTGTAACCATGAGGCCAACGCACAACTTTAAACATAAGCAAAGACATACAAAAAAAGTTTGGCTCATTTAACTGAGAAAATAAAAAGCTGTTGTTTACTTTAAAAATCTTCCTAATGAAGGGCCAGCAAAAAACGTGTTTTCTGCATTTTACAACTTGGTTCTCCCAAGTACAGCAATACAAGGTCACACACACACACACACACACACACACACACACACACCGAGGGGCTGAGCAAGATCAAAGCAGGTAAAGATATAATATTTGTACATAATAACTGAAAACAGAAAAATAGATAGTAAGAATAAATTATTCATTCACATAAATACTTCAAAGCAATTTCCCACAAGGTAATAGAACGGGAATATTGTTTTCCCATCATAAAGTTGGAGCAGAACCGCTCATTAAGTTAAAACACAGACTCTGGAACACAGCCATCAAGCAGGTTTATAGCAGCTACCTTGTCTGCCTGTATGCGTGAAACATTTTATGATTTAGAAATTATTAATGGAAATATAGTTCACTGTAGTGAGTATATAAAATGATTAGAAACAGTACCTCGCTTCATGTGACCGAAACGCTCTTTGAAGCTCCATACGCCATTGCTTTTTAGGCTATGATATCACTGAGAACATTATGTTACATTCAATACCACTATGATACAACTGGCAGTTACTCTATTGCGTTTGGAATAGGGACAGTAATGCAAAAACAGTTCTTCAAATAGGCTATAAAGACTGAAACCCACTAAGAATCAACTGTTGTATCTATACTGCGGCATTAGCATATACATTCTTTGGATAGTTTCCATATAAAACCCTCCTTTACTCATTAAAAGTGCTTCAAGATTCCTGATTGATCTTGACAAAAAGTATAGTACTGCCCAAAAGTCAGAGACCACCCTTCATTTATTTCATTTCCAGTCAAAACAGCCATTATGTGCAAGTTATTCATTTTTCTTCAAACATATTTAACAGAGAACTGCACAGATGTCTCAATAGCTACATCATTTTTCCACTTCCACACTTTCCACCATTTGCCACACTTCCAAAGTTCAGTCCTGGAAGTTGGTTGCATTCTCTACTTCTCACAGTCCAAGAAATCCCAAAACACATTCAGAGATGTTGAAGTCTGGACTCTTGGGTGGTCCATTGTTCTTAGAACATCAGCAGCTTTTTTTTTTGTTTGATTTGGATTTTTTTTATTTGCAGTCTGTTTGGGATCATCTTGCTGGAGAGTGAATTTCCTCCACAACAAACAGTTTCCAGAGGGTCTAGCATGATGTATTAAAGTTTGTACTTAGCGGCATTAATGATGCCTTTAATCAACACCTCCAGATGTTGTTATACATCCCCAAACTTGCATTGATCCCCTCAATCTGGATGAATGAAAATAAAAGAAGGGTGGTCTCTGACTTTTGCACAGTACTGTATATCGCAATTGTATATGACACCGATATAGTGTAGATCACAGGAGAGTTCTATAAGCATAACTTCAGTAGTGTACGCATTACATGTCCGCATTAAAAATGACTGGGCGCTCCATGTTTGGAACGTTACATTATACAATTCCTCTGTCACAAACTCACTGCATCTTGTTTGTTGGCAAATTCTTGACACCCTGAAGTGCTCAAGTTGCCGGTGCAAGTTTTTGAAAGAATCTACATGATCATTCAACACAATAGGCTTGGAAGGATCTCTAACATTTACCATCACTGAAGAAACTAACATAGAACTCTCTTATTTTTGGCTTCTAAATGTCACTACAGCAAGATATCTGACTGTTTATAATTCTATATCAGTCTATCTGTCTATAATTTTGCTTATACTTGTTATAAAATATCAAAATGATCTAATTACAATGGCCATCTTTCATTATTTACAGAGACAACGAGATTGAGGTCATTATTTACACTGCTGGTTCCAATTTATCTACACCTACAGTTGTGACCTTGGAGGCATCTAGTGATCTAGAAAGTGACGAACGTGGTGATCACCTGTCGCTTTACCGATCTCTATGTCTAGAACTGGATCACGTATTGAGGCAAAGGGTAGCGAGGCAATTCAACCTTAAGGCCTTTGTACACTGTTGAACTTCTTTCTGAAAAACACCAAAGTTGCTAAAAGTTTGTCTTCTTGACAAGAGGAATTGAAAAGATTCTCCATTTTTTACATAGTGCTCACAAACTTTCCTTTCGTGACCACAAGCTGCTGTCACTCGTAATAGCGTCCACTATCCAGTCAGAGTTCTCAATTTTCCAACTGGCCAATGACTATGCATAAAGCATAGTTCAGTGCATGAGCATTATAGAGCCATCTTGAATTATTGTACGGGCCTAAACCTGGCAACTGCAACTCAGACCAACGAATATTTATTATGCATTGATTTCCAGACTCTCTTTCTCTTGTTGCTGTTGCGAGACATTGATGCTAACAGAGCCATTGCTGAGAACGGAGCCCTTTGTTACGTCCGTGCTGACGGTGGACAGTGGAAAACTCTCATAGTTCTCTGGTGCCCCCCAACAGCGGCACTGGTACAGCAACGACTTCAGCTCCTTCTGGAAGTTGTTGTTGAGGAAGCCGTAGATGATGGGATTGACGCACGTGGATGCCATGGCTGTGAGGTGGCACAACGAGAAGACAGTGTTGTAGCACACCGGCATCGCTTCGTGGTTCCAGTCGAACACGGTGTTGAACACGATCAGTGGCAACCAGCAGAGGGCGAACACCGCCACGATGGAGGCCAGCATGACATTGATCCGCTTGGAGTGCTTGGCCTTCCTTTGGCGTGCATCTCGAGTCCTCTCGATGATATCTTTCCGGCGACTGAGACGGAGAAAGATGCGCAAGTAGCACACGGTGATGAGCACCAGTGGCAGACAGTACTGAAACATCAACAGCGACGTCACGTAGGCTAGCCGGTTCCCCCTCGATGGCCATTCCTCCATACAAACTATGTGTTCAACTGATGTATTGGTGGGAAGGCTTAGGTTGTCTTTGTGCAAGTCATGGATCACGTGAAAAGAGAGTAAAGGCAGGGAGATGAAGCACGCCACTATCCAGGTAACGGCCACGGCCAGGTACGAGTGCACGACTGCAGGCTTCCAACCGGTCGGGTGTATGATAAGCTGGTGCCTCTCCAGTGCGATGAGGACCATGGTGAAGGTGGAGACTGTGATTGACGAGCACTGGACAAACGGTGACAGCTTGCACAGGGTCTCTCCAAGGATCCAAGTGTCCATGAGCGTGTAGACGATGGTCGAGGGCAAGCACAAGATAGACATGAGGATGTCGGAACACGAAAGGTTGGCAATGAAGATGTTGGTCACGTTGCGCATCTCCTTCTGTCGCAGGATGACCACAACCAGGCACGTGTTGCCCAGCAATCCCACGGCCAGCATGGCGCTGTAGGCCATGATGAGGAAGGTGGTGCCGCTGAGCGAGAGCGGGCAGGGATCCAAGTCTTCTAGAGAGTCTCCAGAGTTGTTACGGTAGAAACCCTCCATCAGCAATTGCTCATAGACACAGATTCGAAAAAACAGAACTGCAGTCCTTTATTTTCCAGTCCTATTTTTTTCTCAGTTCCCAAAACATCTCATTTTGAAGCCTCTCGTGGCACTTGCAAGAACAGTGGTGCTCCTATGATATCTGCAATAAAACAACAAAAGAAAAGACATCAGTGCTTGCAGCAAATGGAGGATCTGTGACCTGACTACGATATGAGATTTCACTAAGAGGGGTGTCGGGATTATTAAGTAGAGCAGGGAATCTGGAGAACGATTCCAAAGCACTGTCGATTTTCTTCATATGCCAACTGAAGTGACAGAGAATTACACCTTCACAGACTCTGGGCTAAAGATAGATTTGCCCTTTGTTTTATTCTATTCATCTTGCCATTGCCTTTCTTTATCATCTTTGTCTCTTTGTTGGCTAACCCCTCTCCATTCTCTCTCTTTCTTGCTGCATATTTTTGCCTATTCAACAAATTATTTTCCTAAGAATAGCTGTCCTGACATTTTAATATGCCACAAAACTCTCCACACCACACAGTACACAGAAGAGCACCTTCTCTGAAAGCACGACTTTTACATCTTCTCACTGAAAGACCACCTGAGATTCCAACAGCAGAGACAAGCTTTGCATCTTTCACAGCAACTTCAAACTCCATTCTGTCACTTATAACTTTACTTCAAACATGGTCATTAATTTTTAACAAAAAAACACAGTGGTCTGGGGAGAATATAGGGAGGGCTTACACAACGCAGTCTACAAAGCTCAGTTACTGAACTCAGCAGAGGTGGATCAGGCTATGAAACATTCACCACAGACTTAACAGATATAAGGCTCATTCTACAGAAACGTCCATTTTTTGTTTCCCTAGCATTTACAGATATATTATATTTCAAATACATGTTAGGGTTACAATATATTTATATATTAAAATAAAACAATGTTATTTTATCAATTACACCTCCCTGATCCATCAATTTAGCAATATTTCTACGTCAATTATCTAGAATTCCAAGCACCACAGAAGTGTAAAGGATGAGCGCCATATTTTGAAGAAAAAACATATTTTTCTGCAATTTTAACTACAATAATCTATACAGGACTGTGGAATATATAAATTAAATGGCATAAAGAAAACAAATGCCAAATAAATATTATAAAATATATAATGAAAGTTGTTGTCCCCAGGAGTTGTGTCACTGGTGTTACTGCATAACAAAAAATCTCTTAATTTGAAATAAAAAATCACACTGATGACATCACTTGATTTCCTTTTATCTATTTTCTGAGGATCTATGAAGAAAAGCACATGGTGAGTCCACTGTGTCTTTTCAGTTATCAGAAATTTTCTCATTTAGCTCAGGATTTCATATGAAGCTCTTAGTTGACGTCACTGCTGTGACCTACTTTATTCTTAGGTAATTGTGAAAAAATAGAATACAAATGGATTAAATTGCATATTTTAGTGGACATTCCATGATTGACAACATGTGGTTTGATGCTCTGTAGCAGCCATTCTGTAAAATGCATTTTTCATTAAAAATGTCTCTGGTGTTACCTTTCTTATGTCTAACACCAATGAGGACTGGTAACACCGGTGACACCTATGGAGAGATAGAAAAGTGGACGTTTCTGTAGAATGACCCATAACACACTGTTCTTAATGCCAGTAATTAGGCCACTTCGTCACTGTGTACATGAATTATTCATCTTTCACCCAGCACATGATGCGTGTACAATGCAGCTCCAAACTATACATCCAGGGTCTGATTTTTCAAAACTGTTATAAAAGAGATTCATGAAAAATGCTTATTCACATCCTATAGCGGTGGTGCGCTAGTCTCTGGATATTTTCTGGTTTAAAGACTATTTCGGATGAAGGTTTGAGAAACATAAAAAAAAATATATCATCACATTGAAGAGAATCAATTACTCAAAGGACAGAAATGACTGGATGAGGAGGATGACAAAAGCTAAATTAAGCAAGGGAGCTGGGTATCTTGATACCTAACCTCACTAACTTTAGCTCAAAGCTAAAATTAGCAAGGTAGCTTGCTATCTAGATACCTAACCCCACTAACATTAGCTAAAATAGGTACCTAGATAGCTTACCATAGTTCTTTTTGTCTGTCTGAAAGGCTAAAAACCTTTTCTTTGAGGTCCATTTTGTGCTAAAAAAGACAGAATCTCTGTTATCTTTATGATGAAGTGCAAGTTACACTAATGCTAGCTTAGCTCCATTTATAAGCCTACAGTCCTGCTGGGAAAAAACAGCATAGACCAGCATACCTGCCCATATTGAAAGAAAATATGGACATATGTTGTTATATATTTAAAATACATTTCAAATACATTGCAAGATACCCTAAATGTAACTAAAGCCCAGCAGTGAAGAGCTTGACCTCTGCTGTCACTGCAGACTGGCAGGGTCGCCTACAGAGCAGCGCTGGTAACCTGTTATTGAAGTAATGTTCTTTTTCGTTTCAGGGTTGTCATATTTCATAAACCACTACCCCTTATAACTCCGTTCCAAGGGTTAAGGCGACACTCGAAAAACAAGGGGTAGGAGTAAAGATAAGAAATGGGATTGGGCCTTATTCACTTTAAACCAGAGGTCACTAATAGACGGACCGTGGTCCGAGTCCGGACCCAGACGCTGTTATATGACCGTGTAATAATCCTAATAATAGACCATGACCTACAACCGATAAACTATGGAGAATTATTTAATTTCCACAGGGTGGTCCTATTTTAATTGGCGTATCATTTCTAGTCATTACGGTACCGGTTTAGCGGCCCGGTAAACTCACAGACCGATCGCATGGCACTGAATCACAATGCAAGGTAGACATTATGATGTTCCTTTGCTTGAGGAACTTTTCTTTAACTAGACTTTATTGAATTTTAATTAAAGAGCTCTGCTTTAAACTATGATACTGTATATGTTTAGAAAACAGTGTCATTAAGTGTTAGAAAGCAAAATCTGTAGGCATCCAGCCGGAATAGAACATGGAGTTGCTAAATACGATTTGCAATCCAATCTTCAGTGCATCAAGTATTCATCTGAGAGAAATATCAATCTCTTCAAAATCTTTCTTCCCAGCCTCCAGTCCCACTTGGCCAGACACCGTCAGCTCTGTGATATGAGACTTCCAGCATCTGACACTGCTTCAGTCTAGTTTTTTTTCTATATAGATGTGCATGTGATTTGTATTCCCTGAAGAAAACATACACAAGGATAAAAAAAAAAGCAGTTGTTCTGCAAATGAGCTATTATCAACTCATCGGTTGGAGATACTAAAGTGACACCGCAGCCATTCAGATTTCTTTATGTTTATATTATTGTAATGTCTGCTAAAGAAGTGTCTTATTGCTGAATGAGATTATAAATTGGGTTTTATGGGAATCCTGGAGAGTCAGGTTGGATAGCAATTCCAACTTGGCCTGAAGCAAAGATCTGCCTGACTGATGGAAAATATTGCTGTCTAAAAATCTTATATGTATTTATATATTTCTGCAGCAGGTTTGCAGTACTAAATGAAACATCTAGCATTTCTATGGTTCTCCTGTTGAAGAAATGATCGGATCAGGGCATTCCGATAAAATCAAGATCTGAAAATGCATATCTGCGTCCGATGTTTTGGGATTATTTTGCAAAATAACGTTAAAGTGGATATACAGGCGGCTTCAGTTTGCCGTGTGACTCCATTTAGCCTTAAGATGAAAACAAACTGGAAAGGGGTCGATAAAGGCAGGATGATAGCATAACTTATAGTATAGATTTTGAGTTTTCTTTGAAGCTACAATATCTCTATGTGCGAGTCTGACAGCTGTGAAGTCTGGCTGAAATGCCAAAGCGCTCACGATCAATAAGCCTAATACCTATCCACTCCACTTCACCATTCTCAGGCCTCATAATCAGTGCTGAGGAGCAGTTAATTCAGCCAACACTAATCTACTCTCTTTCTCTTTATCTCTCCATCTCTTTCTTTCTGTTCCTCAATCGGCCAGTATCGGTTTCGCTTATCCATCTCTATCAATCTCCTTCAAGCCTTCCCTCTTTCTCAGCACAGCTCACGCAGCACAAAATCAATTTAAAAGCGACATGGAATTCAGCGCCTTCCTCCCAGTTCAATTAAACTTCTGTAAGTCAGAGTGACCTTGACCCCAGATAGCCAACACAGCTTTGGTGTGAACATGCTCCATAGTACTGCAGTACAGTGAACCTTCATTAGCCAAGAGGTGGACAAAGTTAACTCAAAATTACAGCAAGATATTCTCCTGTCTTTGGACACTAATGATATTATACCACAATACACCTAAAGAAAAGTTATTATTATTAATACTAATTCATCTTTATTGAATTGAGGCTTTAAATGGTTCATAATGCTACAGTAGAACAGTGGGCCTCTGTAAGCCTAGGGCTGGGTGATATGGATATGACCGTCTCTCGTCAATAATGACATGATATCACAACATAGGCAAAAAGTTATTATTATTAATGGTAATTCATTTTTATTGAGGTGGTGCTATATGTGTTTTTTTACTGCTACAGCACAACAGTGGGCCTCCATAAGCCAAGGGCTGGGCGATATGAACTCAAATTTACATATATACACTATATTTTACCATCTTTAGACAATACTGATGAAATATCACAATATGCCCCCGAGAAAAATGATTATTAATACTACTTCATTTTTATTTACGTAGTGCTATATGTGGTTCTTAATGATACAATAGAACAGTGGGCCTCTGTAAGCCTAGGGCTGGGTGATATGAACTCAAATTTACATCACGATATGTACCGTCTCTATACAATAATGATAAAATATCACAATACGCCCCCCAGAAAAATTATCATTAATACTATTCATTTTTATTGAGGTGGTGATATATATATATATAGTTCTTGATGCTACAGTAGAACAGTGGGCCTCCATAAGCCTTAGGTTGAGCGATATCAACTCAAATTTACATCACAATATTTTATCGTTTTTAGACAATAATGATAAAATATCACCATATGCCCCCCAGAAAAATTATTATTAATACCAATTCATATTTACTGGATAGAGGCTATAGCATTCAGAGAGCCACTCTGTCATCATATTTCCTTTTTTTTATAAGTCTTCAGT